CCCCAGCCGCGCCCCAGCCTGCACCCTGGGTGCAGAACCCCAGCCGCGCCCCAGCCTGCGCCCTGGGTGCGGAGCCCCAGCCGCGCCCCAGCCTGCGCCCTGGTGCAGAACCCCAGCCGCGCCCCAGCCCGCACCCTGGGTGCGGAACCCCAGCCGCGCCCCAGCCTGCGCCCTGGTGCAGAACCCCAGCCGCGCCCCAGCCTGCGCCCTGGTGCAGAACCCCAGCCGCACCCCAGCCTGCACCCTGGTGCAGAACCCCAGCTGCCCCAGCCTGCACCCTGGGTGTGGAACCCCAGCCGCCCCAGCCTGCGCCCTGGGTGCGGGGCTGCAGGGTTCTAGGGCGTCTGCCCTCTGGCTCCCTCTGGCAGGGTTCTAGGGCCGGGGGAGGGGGGAGGGGGGCAGAAGAGGAGGGGGACAGGGGCCTCTCTGACCTCCACCCCCCACAAGAAGTTGCTGGCAAAGTAGTGAGTGTCTGAACTTTTCCTACAGCTCCCCAGAGAACAGACTAGATCATTTGATGGTAAAAGCCATTCCTTCTCCGCCGTCTGCCAAGCTCGGAGCTCAGTGTGTGCTCCGTGAGCAACACGTGGACGGCGGTGAGCGCAGCGGGCTTAGCCTCGGGTCTGTGGGCAGCCAGGGCCACCAGCCACAGACCACAGAGCTGGAGCTGACCACACTGGGCTCTGACTCACTGCCCAGGGTACAGAGAGGGCCTGGCCCAGGACCCGGGGCCTGGCCGGACAGCAGGCAGGGCTGCATGGCTGAGCGGTGGAGTGGCATGGTGGAGGGGCTCTCAGGGTGGTCTGTCCACCAGGGAGCCAGCCCTGACCTCAGGTCTGTGAGGCCACGGGCCCCGCTCTGCCCCTAGGGACCCTCTGCGTCCCCTCCGGCTGCTGGGCGGCCAGCCAGGCCCTCAGGCCGCTCCTAGTGAGGTGATAAATTATTCAGGCAATTCGGAGAACTGAATCTAATCTTGTAGTGTCCGAAAGTGCTTTTAAAATTTTTAAAAAATTAAATCCATTCTCTGATGCCACGTCAAAGTTGTGAGCGGTCTGTGCACGCCTCCCGGCAGGCTGCCCTGCTGCCATCTGCTCCACACCCTGGTCAGCTCAGTCCCTGGCCAGCTCCCAGGACCGCAGCCGTGCTCTGGGCGGGCGAGGGTCACGCCGCCGCCGGCGGGTGCCAGCCTCCCCTCGGGGTCTCCCCGGGGCCCCACGCAGGGCCAGCCGCACACACTCAAGAGGAACTGGTCTCCCTGCGCTAGCACAGGGCTCGTATGTGTAAGTGGGACAGGGCGCGTGTCAGCTGCAGCCGGCGTGGGTGCGCAGCACCATGGCCTGCAGGTCACGTGGGACAGCCGCTGTAGCGTACAAAGCAAGCAGGCAGGAGGGCTGCTGGAGGACTGCGGCTGAGGGAAGGGGCCCAGGACGCTTCTGGCTGGTTTTGTTTTGTAGGAGTGTAATAACATAGGTAGATAGACAAATGGTAAGTGGGAAGATGAACTTGTGAACTGGTAGATAGATAGACAAATACATGGACAGATAGACGTATACAGGGATAGATGGATGGATGGGTAGATGATAACTAGATATGGATAGGTGGATATACACATAAGTGGGTGGATGGGATGAATGAGTAGCTAGAGATAGGCACACTGTGTAGACAGATATAGACACAGATGGGTAGTAAGCTAACTAGACAGAAACATATAGATGGACAGCTGTGTGGATGGGCAGCTGGATGGATGGATGATTGGCTAAATGAAGAGATAGACAGGTGGATGACAGACAGCTGTGTGGTTGAGTGGATGGATGTGTGGATGGATGTGTGGATGTGTGGATGGACAGATGAAGGGATAGATGGACAGACAGCTGTGTGGTTGGGTAGATGTGTGGATGGATGTGTGGATGTGTGGATGGATGTGTGGATGGATGTGTGGATGGATGTGTGGATGGATGTGTGGATGGGTGGATGTGTGGATGGATGTGTGGTTGAGTGGATGGATGTGTGGATGGATGTGTGGATGGATGTGTGGATGGATGTGTGGATGGATGTGTGGATGGGTGGATGGATAGATGAAGGATAGATGGACAGACAGCTGTGTGGTTGGGTGGATGTGTGGATGGATGTGTGGATGGGTGGATGGATAGATGAAGGATAGATGGACAGACAGCTGTGTGGTTGGGTGGATGGGGGTGTGTGTGTGGCTGTGTGTATGCGCAGGTGGGTAAACGGGGTGGATAGGTAGGTATGGCTAGGCGGCCGCACAGGTAGATGGGGAAGGCACAGAGAAACAGGTAGGTTTGGACAGGTAGCAGCTGATCAGGAGCAGCTGGGGTTCAGGCAGCCGGGCCAGAGGAGGAGCTCACGTTGAGCCCAGCTGGGGGTCACCATTGAGGGGAAGCCTGTGACACTTGAGCAGACCCCGCGCAACGTGCCGCGTTCGGTCCTTGCTGTCCGGGGTGGGCTGGGGGAGGCCTGCCGCGCTGTGGAGGCAGGGCCTGTGCCCCGGCTCTGGCGCCCGTGGAGGATCGGGTTCTGCGGGCCCTGAACTCGGCAGGCACTCGCTCGTCACTGGGGATCTCACTCAGGAAATGTCGCTTACAGATTCAAGACATCGTCCGGAGGCGGCAGCTGCTGACCGTCTTCCGGGAAGGGAAGGATGGCCAGCAGGACGTGGACGTGGCCATCCTGCAGGCCCTGCTGAAAGGTGAGGGCGGGGGGGGGGCCAGATCGCAGGCCCCGGAGGAGGGCTCCAGCTGGCAGGCTGAGTTCTCCCCTCAGGGAGCCACGCTGCCTCAGACTCTGCCAGCAAAGAGGCTCAACAAACTCCCGCTAAGATGAGCTCAAGGGGTCAGAGGTGTGGCTCAGGGGGTACAGCACCAGATAGTGAGCAAAAGCATCAGGTGCTGAGTTCAAATCCTGGTCTCTGAAAAAACAAAGAGATAAATGCAAGAAGTTCATTGAAAGCAAACGCCAAAGATAAAGAATCCTGGAAAGAAGAGTCTTCAAGAGAGGGGAGACTTGATCTACGAGGCTCCTCCGGGCGCCTGTGGCTCACACCTGTCATCCTAGCTACTCAGGAGGCTGAGATCTGAGGGTCGCAGTTTAAACCCAGTCCAGGCAGGAAAGTCCATGAGACTCATCTCCAATGAATCACCAGAATCCAGAAGCAGTGCTGTGGCTCCAGTGGTAGAGTGCTCGCCTGGAGCTGAAGAGCTGAGGGACAGCGCCCAGGCCCAGAGTTCAGGCCCCATGACCAAAAAAAGAAAAAAAAAGTGAGGGGAAATCAGGACATTCCCAGACACACGAGATCTGAGGGAGGTTGTGACCACTGGAGCTGTGCTGCCAGAAGTGCTCAAGGGAAAGGCTGAGCTGGGCTGTGGTAGAACACAGGCCGCGTGCCCAGGGCTCAGAGTGGCCAGCATGCCCAGGGCTCTGGCTTCAGCACCAAACCAACCATCAAATAGTCTCCCTCTGCCCATAAGCCCCTGAAACACACAAGGGGGTCCTGGAGGGGGCGGAGGGAAATGAAATGACCGGTCTAGAATCCAGCAATTCAAAGACACCTAAGAAATAAAGGTAAGCACAGGCTAGTTGTAAAAGCTGCCGTTGTAAACTGCTCTGTACAGTTTTAAACATTACTTAAGAAACAGATACATTAAAATGACCAGGGTAAGCGGGGCACAGAGGCCCATGTCTGTAATCGCAGCCACTTTGGAGGTGGCAATTGGGAGGTCCTGGTTCAAGGCCAGTCCGGGCAGAACAGTGGGACCCTATCTCGACCAGCAAGCAGACGCAGTGGCTCATTCCTGTCTTTCTGGACACACAGAAGGCTTAGGTGGAGAGCCGTGGTCTGGGCTGGCCCTGGCAGAACTGCAAGACTTGAAAAATATCTATGGCAAAAATGACTGGGGATATTGCTCGGGTGGTAGAGCACCTGCCTAGCAAGCTCTAGGCATGGAATTCAGTCCCTGGTACTCACACAAACAAAAACATCAATAGCAGAAACAAAACTGGAAAATCCACGTATCCATGGAAATGAAACAACATTCTGTTAGAACTAATACGTGGACTGGGGAAAGTCACAAGGTGCACAGGCTGCATTTCTATGCACCAGAAGTCAAAAAAGGAAACGTGGGAGCTCAGCCAGATTGACGATGTGGAAAGGCCTGGTGAAATGCTGTCCTGAGAGCCTTGGGGTGGCGGCTGGAACGGAGGCAAGCCAAGCTCAGTAGTGCATGCCTGTAATCCCACTGTGCACAAGCAGGAGTGCAGATCTGGAAAGACCTGGGCAATACACGAGGCCCTAGCAGATAAGCGAGCAAAGCATGGCTCAAGGGGTAGAGCACATGTCTTACAAACGTCAGGTCCTGAGTTCAAACCCCAGCACTGTAAAGGTGGGATGGGGTGGGGTAAGGTGGGGGCCGAGAGAGATTGACAATCAATGGGGAGAACTAAATGTAAAATGCCTGCCTTTCCCGGCCTGTGCCTTCTTCAAAGGTGAGTTCTTTTCTCACCTGACCGTCGCCGGTGACGGGGCTGGGTGGGGCCGGGGTGTGGGGCCTGGTAGACGTGGGTGAGCCGTGGCCGTGAGGGCCCCGGGGTGGAGTTTGTGTGGGGCCCGGCTCCCCGCCAGCCCGGGTGGAGCCTTGACCCCCGAACTCCCCTGCAGCCTCGCGGAGCCAGGACCACTTCGGCCACGAGAACTGGGACCACCAGCTGAAGCTGGCGGTGGCGTGGAACCGCGTGGACATCGCCCGCAGCGAGATCTTCACGGACGAGTGGCAGTGGAAGGTGAGGGGCTGATGGGGTCCCCAGGGGTCCCCCAAGACTCCCTCCCACCGGTATCACGAGGGAGCAGCCCCGGCAGGCCCGGGCCCCTGCCTGGCCCCAGCCCCGGGTCCCCGGTGGGAGACCGGGCGCCCCGGCGGGGTGGTGCTGACCCCAGACGATGGTCACTCCCTCAGCCCTCCGACCTGCACCCCACCATGACGGCCGCCCTCATCTCCAACAAGCCGGAGTTTGTGAAGCTCTTCCTGGAGAACGGGGTGCGGCTGAAGGAGTTCGTCACGTGGGACACGCTGCTCTACCTCTACGCCAACCTGGAGCCCTCCTGCCTGTTCCACTACAAGCTGCACAAGGTGCTGCTGGAGGAGCCGGAGCGGCCGGCCTGCGCGCCCCGCCCGGCCCGCGTGCACATGCACCACGTGGCCCAGGTGCTGCGCGAGCTGCTGGGGG